TTAGAAACAACTATCACAACAGTTGTCATATCAATTACACATGTATTGCCAAGTACACAATGTTCCATCTATCAGTCACAGCAGCCTTTCTGGTTATAGAAATATTTAAAGTTGTTTTAAAGTTTTAGAAACTTTGTTCAAAATTAAAATTCATAAACCTTACGGTTCATGTCAATAACCCCTGTTGTCTCTCTTCTAGGTGGCCGATGTTGTGCTGCCTATGTAACTTGAGTAAGGAGATTCTTAATATAGTCCGTTATGATTTCTTGGCCCGCTACTTTTTATCCAACCCCTGTATAAGCACACAGACTATTTATTCACTCTTAACATTTGAGTTTTTTGTATGCTGAATAAATTCATCAATAGAGTAAAGGAGTTACTTTGCAAATTATTTCGTAGAACAAACCTAAATTGGTTTTTATCATCTTTTTAAAGCTGAGATATTTGACGGCAGAGTATTAAATAGCTTGACACCTGAATACTACACATCTCTCTGATAGGATGATAAATGCGTTGTAGGTATATGAACGTGGCCATTTCTTCTTGTACTAATCATATATACAGAGTTATTGGTCTCAAACTTATCACAGTTATTAACAAGAAATGTTATCAATGAGAGGAAATATACACATGGGATTGGTAATATGTCAAGCTTTTTAAATAGGGTTTTCATGGCTGTGACTATGAAGATAGCAGTCTTCTTGGATGTGGCGCTGTGTAGATATTGGGTTAACCAACGTTATGGAGGAACGTATCGCCTCCATCTTCAGGATAGAAGAAAAAAGAAGAAAATCCGCAAGTGAGGAACCAGCGTGAGCAGGTGCTAACAGACTAATGTCCCAGAGCTGAGCTGTTAATACCTGATCCCATCCCTTTTGAGTTGAAACTGCTATTGCAAAATTGAAAAGGTATAAATTGCCAGGTAGTGATCAAATTCTGGCAGAACTTGTTCAAGCAGGAGGCGAAATATTACGTTCTAAGATCCATAAGCTAATTACTTCTATCTGGCATAAGGAAAAATTGCCTATCAGTGGAAGGAGTCTATTATTGTATCAGTTCACAAGAAGGGCGATAAAACTGACTGTAGTAATTATCGTGGGATATCACTGCTATCAACTTCATACAAAATTTTATCCAATATTCTTCTCTCAATGTTAAGTCCATACATAGATGAAATTATTTGGGATCATCAGTGTGGGTTTCAACGTAACAGATCAACTACAGATAAGATCTTTTGCATTCGTCAGTTATTGGAGAAAAAATGGGAGTACAATGAGACAGTACATCAGCTATTCGTAGACTTCAAGAAAGCCTATGATTCAGTTAGGAGGGAAGTACTGTACAATATTGTGATAGAGTTTGGGATACCCATGAAACTAGTTAAGCCGATCAAAATGTGTTTAAACCAAACGTATAGCAAAGTCCATATAGGTAAGCATTTGTCTGATAAATTTCCTATCCAGAATGGGCTAAGACAAGGTGATGCTTTATCGCCACTACTTTTCAACTTTGCTTTAGAATATGCCATTACAAGGGTCCAGGAAAACCTGGTGGGACTGAAATTAAATGGGACACATCAGCTGTTGGTTTATGCTGATGATGGGAATCTACTGGGTGATAATACACAAAAAAGAAAAACACACAAACTTTAATTGACACATGTAAGGAGGTTGGTCTAGAAGCAAACACAGAGAAAACTAAGTGTATGTCGCTGTCTCATCACCAAAATGCAGGGCAAAATCATGACATAACGAGAGAAAAGAGGTGTTTTGAAAATGTGGCACAGTTCAGATATTTTGGGATGATGATAACAAATCAAAACCTGATTCAGGAGGAAATTAAAAGGAGACTGAACTTGGGTAATGACTTGCTACCATTCAGTCCAGAGCCTCTTATCTTCTCATCTGCTGTCCAAAAACATAAAAATTAGAATATACAAAACTATAACTTTGCTGGTGGTTCTGTATGGGTGTGAAACTTAGTCTCTGACATTAAGGGAGGAACACAGACTAAGGGTGTTTGAGAACAGGGTGTTGAGGAGAATATCTGAACTGAAGAGGGATGAAGTGATAGGAGGTTGGAGAAAACTGCACAATGAGGAGGAGCTTCATAACTTGTACTTTTCTCCAAGTATAATTAGAATGATCAAGTCAAGGAGGATGAGGCAGGCAGGGCATGTAGCACAAATGGGGGAGAAAAGAAATGCATATAGGATATTGGTGGGAAAGCCAGAAGGAAGGAGACCACTGCCGCATAGTAAACCCTCTATAAATCAATTGAAGAAGGTTTTAAATGATCTCAATCATCTTGCCGCATACACTCCATCAATCAAAAACAAATATATGCCCGTAAGTGACCATCAAGATCTGGCCCCTCAAAATGATGGTGATAGAACTAAGTCAAAACCTTTACTGGAGTCAAAGAGTGATGATCTAAATAAACACAAAATCATAATTCTGGGTGACAACCATGTGAGGGGTTGTTCAGAAAAACTGGCACGCATTTTAGGAAATGTGTTCAGTGTTATTGGGATTTTGAAACCAAAAGCGAATATGGGTGCTCTTAGTGATTATATGTACTTAAAGGCTGAAAAACTCTCCAAAATAGATGTGGTGATTATCTGTGGTGGTGCAAGGGTTGTAGCAAGGAACGAAACCAAGGAAGGGTTAAGATTTATTTTTAAATTTGTCAAACTGTTAACTAACACAAATGTGATTGTAACATGTGTTCCCAGGGCCACGCCATAGCTCAAGCGGTTAGTCGCTGGCTTCCCACCACGGCAGCCTGGGTTCGATCCCGGGTCTGGTCAAGTGGGATTTGTGGTGGACAAAATGGCGCTGGGGCAGGTTTTCTCCGAGCACTTCGGTTTCCCCTGCCAAACTCCATTCCACCAATTGCTCCACAATCACCCTCACCTATCATCTGGGGCTGGAACAATAGGCCAGAAGTGGCTGCAGTACAAGGGACTTAGTCCCACCCCACAACAATAAAAAAAAAACACATGTTCCCCATCGATTTGATTTTCAAGCTGAATCATGTGTTAATAAGGAAGTAGAAATGTTTAATAGAAAGTTGCAAAAGCAAATGAAAACTTTTGATCATGTTCAAGTCTGTAATATAAGTGAAAATAGAGAACATTTTACCACACATTGTTTTCACATGAATTTTAATGTTAAGTTCTGGATTATAAATAAATGGACTTCTATCATTTTACCTACTTTATCAAGATTACAAACAACACCAGCTACTCCTCTTCCTTGGGTAAAGGAAAATGAAAATACCCATGTGGAACATGTAAGTAAGAATGACTCAGTAACAGAAGAAAGAAATATACTAACAGAAGATGAAACTAGGAAATACAGAATCTTAAAATTGAAGAAACCTGGTGATCAGAAGGTAAACTTGTTAAAAAATGACGTCTCAGTGTGTGAGACTGTGCAGGTTCAGGTGCCGGTTCCTGAACCTGGGCAGAGTAAGTACACACAACAGTATAAAACATATAGGAATAACGTAAGAACATAAGGTAGTAATATGAATATTCATGTATTACAAATAATACATGAACGGTGCTGAAAGCAACAAGTAGCCACTGCAACACATATAGACACAGAGCAGGTATCCCTGTGACTTAAATAAAAAAAAATTACATTTAAATCAACGAGTGTATATTAACAGAGATTTTAAACATAACTGACAAAATCAGCAAGGGGATTCTGGTATATTGGGACCGACTGAAACGCAGCAATGACAATTGAGATAGCTGGCGTTTTTAAATTTTAAATTACATGCAGTGTGACAGCTACGTAAGTGAAATACACCTGATGATGGCCAGTTATGGCCGAAACATGTAGTGTGAAAGAAGAAAGACAAAGAGCTACAATAAATTGTTGCATTTACAATGGTATTTATATTATACATATAGGGGTTTAAGTATGACTAATGATCACATAGAGAACGAAAAATTTGCAGTCTGACATATGCAGCCACCATATTATTATTCTATCAAAATATATTTCAAATAAGCGTACCTGATGTATAGTGACTGTTTTTTTTAACTTAAGAATGAAGAGTTCTTTTGTTTTGTTACCTGCTGTCTAAAACGATAAATATCAGAATATACAAAACTATAATATTGCTTGTGGATCTGTACGAATGTGAAACTTGGTCTCTGACATTAAAGGGGGGCACAGTTTGAGAACAGGGTATTGAGGAGAATATGTGGACTGAAGAGAGTTGAAGTGATGGGAGGTTGGAGAAAACTGCATAATGAGGAGCTTCATAACTTGTACTCTTCGCCAAGTATAATTATTATGTTCAAGTCAAGGAAGATAATATAGGCAGGGCATGTAGCACAAATGAGGGGGAAGAGAAATGCATATAGCATATTTGTGGGAAAACCAGAAGGAAAGAGACCACTAGGAAGACCAAGACGCAAGTGGGTGGACAATATTAAAATGCAACTTAGATAGGCTGGAATGGTATGGAATGGATCAATCTGGCTCAGGATAGGGACCAGTGGAGGCTCTTGTGAATACAGTAATGAACATTTGGGTTCCATAAAATTCTGAGAAGTTCTGGAATGGCTATGCAATTGGCGGCTTCTGAAGAAGGGTTCAGCTCCATGAGTGAGTGATGATGAGTTATTTTTCAAATTCTGCATAGTGGCGCTGATAATAGAATGGTGATTATATTACACTCCAGAAAAAAAAAATGTTCTTTCTTTCTTTCTTTCTGTAGTTACTGCACAAGCGGTTGGTCCCAATCTGTGTTCATGGGACAGGCCTCTTAAGTGCCCAACCTCCAAGTCCTAATAGTGATATCGCTTAAATTACATTTCGAATGGGCTGGGGACAGTTTGTTTACATTGCTACTATTCTTAGTTCATTGCTAACAGGCAAAAATCCTGGGCTAAAGGTCGACTGACAAGCAGAGCAAATGCATTAATACATAATTAAACTGCATAGAAACATTTCGTATAAGGTGAATGAATGAGTACTTACATATCTGAGCTCTCTGTAACCACTCTATAATAAAATATTCACCAAGATTTTCTGAATTTCAACCTCTGGTATAACCATTTCCTGCAACTACATCACCACACTCCCCGTACACCATTTTAACGCTGCAATGGCAGGCAACGCATCATCATCATCATCATCATCATCATCGTCATCATCATCATCATCATTCCGTAGCTCTTAGCTCGGTTACGAAAACCAAGGATTTGGAAATCATAGAAAAACAAGTAACTCATAAAATATTTTAATAAATAATACAGTCATAAATACATAAACTATAAGTAAAATATGTGGTTATTATCTGTAAAATCAGGTATAGTAATTTGTTAAAATTACAATTAAAATACTCATCGAAGAAATACAATGAATTAGTACAAGAAATCTTTTAGAGCCGGGTAAATAGTCTCACTTCATTGCCTAGGTTTATTATATTACGGGGAACATGATTAAGAGCCCTAATTCGACAATAGTATGACCGCCTTCGTCTTTAGTAAACTTCCAAACTTGAAATTTGTAGGTGTAAATTTGTACCATGTCTAGTATTTATATCGTGAACCTTTGATTAGATTTTTATTGGTCTTTATTTTTTGAGGACAAATAATGGTAAACAAAATACATATCGCGTAATACAAACCCGCGAAACCTGATTTGACGATACGCGTGTGCTACATCCATTATACACAATCAGGTGTGCCAACAGTAGTGACGTTTATCGATTGGAAATGTTGTTTAGAACTCTGTAGGTTTGTAAACTACGCAGAATTCGTGAAAACTTTACGGTGATGGTAATGGAGCTGAAACGTAATTGGAATCGAATGTCATTAAGAACATTGTATGTAATATATGGAACTTCGGAACAGTTTTTCATCATGTAAATGTTAAAACTTTGGGCATTAGGTTAGAATGTCATGGCAGCCGGAATTTATAATCAGAGATAACAACCCTTTTGTTGACATTAAGCTTTAGAGGTAGTTGAGGGAGGTTAGGTGTTTCCATAAAATGTCCACAACAGTGATGATTGGTTCAGAATATTTGCCTCTTCATCACAAGAGCAAGGGTTTTATACTTAAAGTTCCCTTTGGAAAGTTGGCATGGATAACAGTTTCCCTTCCACTGCTTAGTTTCATCTTCTGTGTTATATGGTCCATTTTATTTCACTTTGAAAGAGCTACATATACGCACTGTGAGGTAAGTGTTTTATTGTCCGTTGTTTCTATGTTATTTTTACATAATAGAGGTTAAAAGCTCTGACATTTTGTTTTCTCTTATCAGGTTCCAAATTTCTTACCATCAATATCTGCAGCAATTGGGGGGTTTTCTCCACAGAGACATGTATGGAGGATAGCAATAGCAATTCATGCTGGACCAAGGTTACTTGTTGCCAAAATGTACTACACGTACTATCAAGGGGTACTTTACCACTGGATACATTTCATGGCCATGATAGCCTGTTGGCTAAATGTTGTAGAGAATATGGCACTCATTGGTCTCACATTCATTTCATCTGCAGATAACCATGGTAAGTTTGTACTGGACACAGTATCATAAAGAACCTGTTATAAAAAATTCAGGTTAATGTTAAAAACTATCCTGAATATCTTTGTAAATATATGTATCAGGAGATACTGTGTTATGAGTTAAAGCATAATAATTTTGGTCTGACAAAGAATGCTCAGAATTAATAGATCAGCAAAAGTTCATAGTCAAATTGTTGTTGCTGCAGAACAAGAGTCTCAGTGACTGGGGATGAGAGATTTGAAAACTTTAAAGAATGAAGCTGGGGAGTATTAGAAAAACAAAATGTATATGCTTCATTCATAATCCAGACTACATTTTTCTTAATGTTCTGCTTTTCATTCGTTAAACATATACAGAATATGAATTTTTGTTGGCTGAGCAAGGCTCTGTCATCTCTCCTCCATTTGTTGCTAGTGGCCACCCTCTATTACATTACATTACATTACATTGCATTGCATTCCATGGATCCAGAGTTAGTCAAAATGACTGTAGGATGTGGAATATGTCATACAAGTACAAAACATATATAGTCTCAATGGAGTTCTCACACAAGAGAAACCACCTTTTTGAGGCCACAGAATATCAGTTTCTTACAGCTCTGTTGCATTGTTCTTATTGACCTGGACAGGGCCTCTTGCCCAGTTCTGGGTATTCATATTCCTGTTCAGTCTGTCTGCATAATGTGACTGCATTGGTACCATAATCACTTTGATTATGGAGACATAAGTAGCACCTTTTTTTTATTGAAAGGATGGTGTCCACCTCCACATGGGTGGTGTCACAGTCTGAAAACAGCATAATTTTTTGTACTTTCCATGTCCACCTTTATCCTTTAGAAAACCATCATTAGCCATTTCTGGCAATGCATCCTAGTTTTGCAGTGATAAACACAAACACTAAACTATGTGGTATATTTTGGAGCTTAATGGGCTAAAAAGTCTCACAGTATGGACAGGCGGTTGCGTGTAGTAATCAGGCCAATATTAATCTGAAAAATATAGGCTGTACCAGGAGGTTCTTGCCACACCACTGGGAATGTTCCTTTGAACAGTTTGAGGTGAAATAATGAAATATACCCATGTCTGAAGTTTAATTCTTCTGAAAATACTGCCAGGAGAAGCTTTAAAGACAGTGAATAGTTACATGTTTATTGACGACCAAACCATGAGTACGAAAAACAGAATCACAGTAAAGTAAGTAAAAAGTAAAGGTATCCCTGTAACAGGCTGTGTAGGCCCATAGGGTTGTGAGATGTTGAGGTTACCACATTTTCTAGACAATCGGCTCATAGATGGCGGTAAGGTTGTCAGCCCTTCACACTGACCGCCCTTTACCTCCAAGAATATTCCTGATACTTATTTCTGTTAGAGGCTGGGCTGACCACAAGTCCATAGTGCAACTGGAAGGATTAGATGAATTGAAAAAAATCCTATGACCTCCTGGCTTGTAGCATAGTGACTCAACCAACTACACTACTGCGTGTCCCAGAATCACAGTAATTGTTCGAAGTTTCCATCTCTGGAGTGTATGCACTTCTCATTACCCATCACTGTTGACTAGGTGGTTGCAGCAGTGATGCCAATGGCAAAGCATGACAAAATAGTATAGATCTTGTGTTTAACTTTAGTCATACACTAAGATGTCTGTGCAGCCCAAGAGGAAGAAACAGCAGGGTCTGGAGACCTCGGGCCATTTGCTGCATCTTCTGTGGCGTATTCAGCAATTTGGAAAACACTTCCTCACATGTCAAGTGTAATTATGAGGAACTCCATTGTGTTCCAAATACGATTCGTCATGAATGGGACATCTTCTAGGACACTTGTGAATTTTTTCTCAGAATCAATTTGTAAATCTTTCCATTTAGGTGTTGATCAAAGATGAATGGTCCAGTTAACTTGTTACTAAGTAAACCACACCATACACTCACTGAGAATCTCCTCTGGAAGTAACTTTCTGTCACAACATATGGATGTACAGCTGATGATGCATGGACGTTTCAGTAAATCATTTGCACCATCCCATGTAAAGGAAGTTTCTTCCATGAATAGTTTGCAAGTCATGGGATTTCTGTGAGCCAGTCATAGAAAACCATCCATGTAGCAAGATCTCTGGGTTCAAGATGTGGGGCCCTGTGGTCACATCTATGGATACAGATCCCCTTCATTCAGTGTTTACCATGCCTGCACATGTTACTGGCAATTATGTGAGTGCACTATCATGGGCTGTGCTGTACCATCTAAAGAATATCTTCTTTTATGTTTGCATTTGGCATTACTTTCCTTTAGAAAGGCACAGAAACGTTTGGAAGTGAGCCAGTTCCCAGACAGCATTCTCTGAGCTTTAGTAAATATATCCCTACTCATAGTTCTTTGGTTGGGAAAACTTTTCCAGTTTTGTTGGGTCCAATAGATAGAGCTAGCCCATGTGGCTAGGATGGTTTTTTTATGAAATAGACAAGATGATGGATAATGTCCAAAAAAATAATAATACTTCTAGCAATACACCATCGTCACAAACTTTTAGAACTTATTAACTGTGAATTTCTTTCAGATTTTCTCCCTCTGGGTTGTGACACCATCCATATAGTCTTTGAGGTGGATATCAGTGTTTCAGAGGAACATTCTGCCTCCATCTTCAGGATCAAAGTGATTGGAATGAGAGTATAAAAAATTTATGTAGGAAGGGAGTCATGGAAGGCAAGTTATTCGGAAACCACAGGAGCGTGACAGGAAGAAGGGACCTGTTTGGTGTGATAGGAATGATAACACACAATAGTGAGGACTACTTTTTGTCCTAATGGCAAGGTAAAATGGATAGTGGCCACTTAGAGCAACAGGAGGGGTAGAATAGGCAGGAAGGGCCAACTGAAAATATAATAAACTCTTCATAATTCAAGTATGTAACTGTATTATCCTCAGAGACAATCTTCTTCTGTTCCTGCAAGGTGGAGACTTCCGTGACATGTTTGGGGAGAAAATTGCCCTCCTGTTTCTGTTTTTAGGTTGAAGCTTTATCTCTCATGCTTGCATTATGATTCAGTCCCTACATCTAGAATACTGTTTCCAGCTCCTGTCCTCTGCACATCCCATGGTACTGAAGTACCACCATCTGTGCTCCTGTGCCGTTCACATGAAGGGGTGGTTCTCACTATTCCTTTGCTCGTCTTCCCTCATATGATTTCTGTGTCCCCTTGTGTGTATAATATTTTTGCACTCTCATGCCTGTAACTTTGGCCCTGAAGATGGAGACAGTGACAGTGCTACCAGACTACATTCTGAATACTCATTGCCATGAAAACTGAAAATTTGTGCGAATATCTTTCACTGTCATCTTACAGAAGAAATGTTACTACTTGTTCATTATAGCCATGTGTCACAAAGACAGAAATTAAAAACTTGGCAAGTAGTTTTATTGAGTATAAAAACCCAGAAGACAACATAATCTATTCTAATCATTAGGTGTGATAGGTGTGTCGGTTGATGTGTCTGAAATCTGTCAGTTTGAAGTAACATATCAATACAAATCCAGTGTTTTCTGCAGATTGCCAGATATAAATATGGCACAATATTTATTTTTACAGTTGTTCATGAAAAATTGTTTGTGACTTTCATGGTCACATCAGAATTGTATATGATGCTGACTTGTTACCTGCTTAGAAGTATGAGACGGAGTCCGCCTGACAATGTAGAAGCCCGTTCACTACGAATCAAATACCAACTTCTGGCTGTGAATCTGACATCATTTGCAATGGCGATTTATTTCTTCATCAGACACAACTCGTACTGTGAACCTGGTGGTAATTATGATTTAATAATTTATCATTCTAAGTATTCTGCTTTTCTTAAAGAAAATTCCTTCCACAAGTGTCCTCATATCATGAATAGAAAATATATTTTTTCATCTTATCACTATTTATTCATGTTTCCACAACATTTATCATCAGATCTACCATATGACAAATCTGTCTGCATGCTTATAATAGTACAGCTGTCGTAGTGGTGTTGAAGATGCTATTGTAAACCAAGATTATCAACCACATGTTAATGTTTGTCTATTATAGAATTTGGGTCATGAGTTCATTTAAGATAAATGTACCAGTAGTTGACACTGTGCCACTAACTGACAGTTTTGATTTGAAAGTTAACTAAAATTTGGGGATGATTTTTGTGTGATCTACCTCTTAGTATGTCATATATTGCCTCTGTGACTACACCTTACTTTTAATCGTTTCCTGCATCCTGTTGTGTGTTTAATCAATAGTAGAGTAAATTTACCGACTACACAACACATTTTTATCACATTATCACTACATGTTTCGACCTCAAGAGGTCATCTTCAGGTGTATGAACACAGCTGTATAATTACACGCAGTCACATTCACTTTTCACTCATTCGACCTTGTATCTTCTCCAGACTTACGCTCATTAATATATACACCTTACTTATCCGGTTGGCACCTGTAGGAATATGCACATTTCTGGATGTACCATATTGTGAGTACTTCATATTGAAATCAGTAAGAAAATTAGCTTTGAAAAGTTTAATTAAAATATACATAATGCATTCCCAGTTATTATCCAGTTATCCAATTATCTGTGTCCCCTTTGGTAGGTATCTTTGAAGGCCTATGGAGCACATATTAAGTTCTCTCACCCCATCCATCTGTATACATTAAACTTAAGAACTGCTGTGTTGTAGAATTTCACTAAAAATTCCCAAGCCAATTCATTTTTCATTTGGGTCAGGCAGTTTTAAAAACCTGTTTGTGTGAGGTTGCTAAATATTTATCAGAGTGAAAATTGTTATGAACAAAAGTTGTAGAGAAAAATGAAATACATATTTTATGTTCAACACACTTTTTCAATATAATTAAACAATTTAGATGCTATTCCCACACAACAAGATTTTCAGATTCAGCAATCATCTGGTTTTCTATTCACACTCAAAGATTGCTGTTGGATTATCTTCTTTTAACATTGAAAATGTCATTATATGAGGGTACAAATGGATGAAGCCATAAGTGACATTTCATAGAAATTACCATGGTAACTGTAACTGCTTAGTGAATTGTTATAGCAGAAAGTAAATTCATGTAACTTTAGAAATGTTACCAGTATTATAGCACATTTCTGTTACAATGGCTAGAGAAGGGCTGTTCCCCCAGTGACCAGGAGCAAACAAGTTTGTGTGAACTGTTGAAAAATGAATTCTCATGGATACTGGAGAGTAGAACCCATGGAGTCGGTGTCTGCTGTGCAGTCAGACTGACAGATACAACCAGAAGCAGAACTCGAGTAGAATTGAAGCAGATTTGGCTTGAGCTAGTCCTAGTTCAGGAGCCTACAGACCAAGGTAGGGTACAAATGGATGAAGCCAAAAGTGACACTCAGTGTAACACTTGTGCAGCCTCTTACGTAATCGCCGATAACTTGAGTCATATGATGTATGTTATATTAAAAGTTATATGTAAATGAAAGAATAAAGACTCATCTGTTCACTTGTAATTGTTTAAACAATTACCCAAAATCTATCGAAATGCGTGTTTGGTGCTATGCATTGAAGGTGGAACGTGTTTAGCCAACCGTTACTTAGTAATGAGTGACTTCACTATGGGACCAATGTTTACCCAGCTGTTGGCTGGTAATGGACATTTGCGTCAACTTCTCTATTCTGGTTTTGTTGGATGAAATGTGGACAATTTATCCTGCATAAACTACGTTTTGTACTTTATCTATCGTAGACCTATCTTGAGCACAACCAATCACCAAGCTCCTTAACTCACTGACGTAACTACAAATTAAACGCTTTGGGTAATTTCAATAAATTATGTACTGTACATATAGTAATGTGTCAATAAAGTTTCAATTTTAATGTGCAAAGTTCATTTATTCCAATAAAAATCCTAATTTAATAATGTTTTCAACATTAATCCTGGAAGCAGGGTTCTCCAATCACTTTTTTTTTGTATTATCTATGCATCTTCTCCCTTCGTTGGCATGGTTAATTCCAGATGAGATGTATATTCTTTTTTCCATGAGTATATGATGAGTCTAGCTTGTACAGGGGTAATCAACTATAGCCAGTAGTTGAACCCAATTTCATGTTCAGCTGCATATTTCCAAAAATCAGATCTTAGATTAATGTGACTGTTTGGCACATTACAACTGAGAAATTCACCTGTAGCTAAAAGTATTGTCACGTATCATAACTTGTGACACCAAAAGGTCACATGTCCGTGGTTCCATGATAAATAATAATGGGTTCTGGATTGCATGAATGGATTTATTGCCACCATTGTTACAGTTGCCCTTAGTTACAATCAGTTATAACAGCTCACAATGAATGAGTGCCTAAAACCTGCTCCATTCCTTACTGGTCTATGAGTGTCTTCTCTTCCACTGTGACTGACTTGGTTCTGATTTACAAATCAGTCACGTCCTCAGCATCTGTTGTCCAATAGTTAACACTCCACAACTGAACACTGAACTACTGAACTGCCTTCTCAGTTCTCTTATGACTGCATGAATGAATGAGTGCTCACTTGCAAATGATCTCTTGAATCAATTACATGTCCCCTCTTTATAACTTAGGGACAAACTGAATATAGATCAGCACATCTAACAGTTCTTCTGTTACTCTTTGCTCATCCATTGTCATGGAAACATGAATTAATTTCATAGCAGTGGTAGGTATGTTTTAACCACTGCCCAGATATATCTAAAGTTCCATAGGAGCTTAGTTTTTGTGATTCACATGGTCACATGCTTCAGCATGAACACAGTGTAGTCCACCAACATGCATTTTATTATGAAGAGCATGTAAAATGGTGAAGCTATCCCCCTACTGGGCCATGGAAACCCGTAGGGTTGTGAGACGTCAAGGCTGCCACATTTTCTGGACAGTCGGATCACAGATGGCATAGAGGTCGTAAGTCTTATGTGCTGGCTACCATTTATCCCCAGAAATATTCATCAGGAAGATTTCTGTTAGAGGCTGAGTTGACCCCAGGACCATAGTGAGGCTGAAAGGATTAGGCCAATTGAAAAATCTCATGACCTCATCAGGAATCAAACCCACATCCTTTGGACTTATGGCATAGTGCCTGAACCAGTTACCCTACTGTGTGCCCCATTAAGTGTAAGATTTCATTGGTAATACTCAGTACATCTCTATCCATTGAGAGATTCTTTCAAAACCCAAATTGTTCACCTGCAAGGGTCTTATTTAAGTTTAAGTTTGTGCATAACTTTCTCAAATGAGTTAGGGAATGCTGTTATTAATGAAATTTGTCTGTGGTGTATATGCAAGATTTTTCACATTTTTTTGCACAGTAGTTTCACTTTTGAATATCTAAGTTGCCCTGGGAAGACCCTACTTCCACTGATTGATTGCAAAGATAACTTGGGGCACTGACATAATCTTTGCAGCTTTTGAGTAACTTTGTTGATATCTCATTATAACCACATGAAGTTTTTTATTTTAGAGAATTTATTGTGTTTTTAATCTCATTTGGTATTGTGAGCATAAGAGATAATTGGGTAGTTTTTGGAATTCTTCAGCTGGGTACTTTGTTGCATCTTCTCTTGTGTTCTCTTAATTTGGATTGTTACTTGAGTGTGAGAAATACTTCTTATCTGTGCAAAGTCCTTATTTTTGTATTTAAATCTCTTGAGTTTTGAGTACTGAGTATAGAGGGGGTGGGTTTCCCCATGCACTTAGACCAGTTATTGGTCCATTGTGCTTCCCCCTTTTAATTTCTACTGTCTCCATACCCTACCGGTACTGGTGCTCGCTATTAGCCCCTTTCTGCCAGCGAGGTTCCAACCTTCTACTGGCAGTAGTATCTAATAGTTAGTCCATTTCTGCCAGAGAGGTCCCCCCTCCTCTGGCAGTGGTACCTAATACTTCCCCATCTACCGGAGGCATTGGAAACTACTTCAGGCAGGAAACTTTTTGCCAAATTTAGCTCAGAGGTCACCTAGAGACATGAGGTTCTTTTACGCGCCATAAATCTACGACACGGGACCCACGGCTTAAAGTCCCTCCCGGAGGACTTTTTCCCTGAATTTTTCCGCGCTTAAAAATTCCACGACCTCCGCCGGGTTTGAACCCGCGTACCTTGAGTCGTGAGATGGGAACGTTACCCCTAGACTATGGAGGCCGCTATTTAAATCTCTTTCTCATGAGTCTACAAGTGTATGGTGTTTGGAAATTAAGTTTTGCTAGAATGTTAAATAACAAATAGTAGTTTTCTGGTAGAGTTCATCTTCCTGCTATATTGTCTGCATTAGAATAAGATGCAAATTACCACCTTGGTATTTCTAGCTTATTTCCTTGTGTTGACTATATGTTATTGCAACCCCAACATGTTTCAGTCATGCAAGACCATCTTCATGGGATGTACCATTTAAAAGAAAACCTTACAGTTCACATATATTGTGGCATATGTGATCAACGTGTTGCCAGGCAACACATCTGTAAACACGATATGTTCCCGCAACAGTAGAGCAAGCTGTGTTTTCCTTGTGTCTGGCAGTTGGCATGGGATCGGTGATGTCACACATCAACAGTAGGTGGCTGTCACATGATGTGTTTCCTGCATGTCTGTCAGCTGCGCATGTGTGGTGATGTCACACAGCAACAGTGGGTAGGGGCCACACGATATGTGTTTACTGTTGGTTGATGTCCATCCCTCAGCTATGTAAGTGATTAGAATTCCTGAGCTGACAGAGAGAGATATTAGCGGCGGAAGCATCCGATTGGAACTAGTTAAGACTAGTGGAAATAGACTGAGAAGATTAGTGTGGAGAACCCAGGAGGGTTCAGCAGTTGAGAGTACAATGACAAGAATGGAGTGTGAATTATGAAGATTGAATACATATTAGGACAGGAGGACAGAGTGATTTGAAGAGGTAGTGTCTGTGTTGAGATTGTTGCTATGAGACGACTAGTGAAGACAGAGAATCCTAGTGCACGTGCAACAGCAAACCGTAAATCAGTGATAGCGCTGTATTAATTGTAATTAAGGAAGGTTGTAACAAAGGTGCTAATAAATCCAATCATCCAAACTAGAACCTGTCATTCGTCATGCCACCTTACACATGACAGTATTGAAAATAAAGGATTTAAGATATCCATTTCACGAATTTCTTATCAAAGATAAAAATTAATATGATAAGATCCCTACATACAGACTGTGGTTATTATAACTCAGTTGCCTATTGCTGCCTCATACTTAAGATGGAGTTCTGCTGTTTTGATGTGGTTCATGGTAGGTGAAGTATGAAATTGTTTGGAGGAACAAGTTAATAATGAGTAATTAAGGACTCTTACCATCAAAAATCCACATCAGGATATTTTAACCCCCTGATTCTGATGTTCACATTTTTTCCATCTTTAAAACTCTGAAGTTTCCACTCGACACTTTCAATTTATGGAGTGTGAGGAAACACCCAAGTCTTTGTGCCTGTTTGCTCCAAAAAGTCAGGGTCTCCCAGCAATCTTGTTTCAGTGAGGAAATTACTTTCTCGGCTTTTGAGCGACAAACAAAATAATGTGCCAATAAAATTATTTTGCAACAAAATCCTTTTGACTGACACAAAACTCATGAACCCATATGCACATAATTCAGCACAAGCTGAATCAGCTGTGTTTTCTTTTTCCACACACAAACATGAGTATGGTCATTTCTCAAACCTTAACTTGAAGATGTATATATCAAGAACCTTTGCTGACACTGCACTATGAGCCAAGTTAATCTCAGGTGCTAGGTGGTGTAATAATACAGTGTTACTTTAAAATTTTTTTTTATTTTGATTGAAATGAGACTCAAATTTATAGAAACATGAAACTTGCTAGAAGCTGTCCATAATTTTATGTAATAAAAATGCATAGCAGATTGAAAATTAGAATTTCTCAGATTATGGTTTATGTATCTGAAATATTGATATGAAATATAAAAACACTTCTATGATCTGGCTGAATGGCTGGCCACAGATATTTATGGTGGAAAGACCAAGGGCCAATCTACTTCCCTCAATTGTTGTGCTCTCATATTTCTTTTGTATGCCATGTTTTGAAAGAAATATTTGTATCAGAGAATGATGTGAGCTTTTGACTTGAAGAATATGTTGATAGTTTTGAGTACTTTACCAACATTCAATTTTACACTAAACTTAATGCAAGGAGATTCTCTTTTTATCACTCATGTTTCAGAGCATATTGGTTTGCATGGTAGTGAACCTTTGAAACTGTGCGTATGAGTGACATAAGTGAAAATGTTCCACCATTTTTCTGACACTGATTTTAAGCCATGCCCCATGTCTCTTGTAACAAAGCCCAAGATCACTGCCACCAGGCATGTCATTCCTTCATTATCAGAGTGATGAGTCAAATGAAACTGCTCGTAAGGTGATGAAACTGACTGGGAGCAAGTTACATGTCAAAATGACAGGCAACCCACACACACAAAACTTCATGTCAGGAAGTGGAAGGTCCAAAACATTTACTTCCCTCCAAATAATCTGCCAACAGCTTATTTTTACCCTTTTTGCTCTTTTTTTTCCCCTGAACTTTGTACTTAGAGAAACAAATAGGTTACAGAGATTTTCCTACAGAAGCTAAAAAATTGGAGTAAGAGATCCCTTCTAAAGTACAGAATACCCATTCACTTGTAAAAAGGTAGAACGTTGTTTTCGTTGCCAAATAAAGGCATTGTTGCTTCTCTTACTAGTTCACTTAACCTTTACAGTTCCTGCCCTGGTTTCATGTTGCATAACCAAGAAATAGTTTCCAGTTGTTACTGAAATTTTTCTGTTTGGCGGACAGAAAAAATCTTGCCAGCCCAGGAGAAGGAAGACACAGTCCTTGTGTCAAGATACAACCCCTTTAGGATCATGCCAGCATGGTTTTCTGATACCACCATATTCCACACCAACAGCTTGTATAAATAAGAGTTTAGCAGGCACAAAGAATCATGTGCAGCTAATGCACTATTTGCCAAGCAGCCCTCTCCAATGGGATTTTGTAGTGAATTGCTGTCTGGCATTTCTTTATATCACAAGAAGTGTCAAAATAAAAAATTAGCTCAGCTTTTGCAGTAGTAATAAAATTACTGGAAATGGGGAACTGTCTCATCAAAGGCTGCCATGTTTTTATGAGTAATTTCTTTACTAGCATGCCCTTGACAAAAGATTTTATGGACTGGAAACATATGTGACAGGAACAATTTGCAGAATCAGAAAATTTCTAACATAAGCATTGCAAAAAAATATGGAAGTTAGAGAACATCTTATTACCAAGTTTGTTATTTTCATGGCAGACAAGAAAAGCAGACCAAACCCACCACCATACAAGCATTCAGTGACTACATGGGTGGCATTTGCACATCTGCTTTGATGCTATATGCATACCTTGATGTGCAATAGGTTGTGAAATACTAGAAGAAAAACCTTGTTTCAAATATTTTCAAGAAAGATCCTCAATTGTATCAGACATAAAGAAAATACCGCACTTGGAACTAAACCAATCTCCTGGCTGGATTTCACAATCAAAATAATTCCCGCAGGAGGAAAGGAGTAAGGAGTAACAACCCTGGACCATCGTCACATGCAATGACACCTGGAATATGTATTTGAGAATTACCTGGGAAGAGAGCAAAGAAACTGTTGTTTTTGCAACAAAAGGAGAAAGCATGGGAAAAGGAAGAAGATTCAGAACAAAATATGGGAAAAGTTTGTATGGAGGGTGCTTTCCTGAGCATAAGTGTGTTATGTGACAGCATTTCCTGAATTGTGCTCCCTGTGGCTTAGTAATTAAGCACTATGCCATGAAGATGTGTGGGGGAGTGGAGGTATAGCTCCACAGTTCTTAACCTCAGCACTAGATGGAGTAACATTTTTAAGTTCTGTTCAGAATTGTTAGAAGTGTGTGATTCTTGTCAAATAACTAAGATTCTTAAAAAATTGTTTCCTCCCCTCATAAAGTAAAAACTATTACTTGCACTACAAGTGCACATATTCTGTAGATACCTGTGCACAATAGCAAAGAGATTTGTGGTGAGTACAGTACTTTCTCCAGTAAGCATAGAAATCTAAATATCCTGACTGTAATGGAAGTAAAACGATTGAGAGTATATACACGTTTTTCTTATGCGTGTTTATTTTTCTTCACAGTGTATTCCATATTTGCGTTATGCGAGTATGTAGTCGTATTAACCAACATGGCATTCCACATGACTGCATTCTGGGACTTCCATGGACGGGAGTTACTGGTTGGTCCAAGGGGTGTTCAGTTCAGCTGACAAACTAAACTACTGGACAAAGAAGCCCAATAACAAGAGAGCCAGTCCATCACAGTTACCATTCCGCCTACTACGCAACTTCCCCAGCAGCCTTGCATAGCCACCCCAGATAGTTTTGAGTCTTTGGAGGAAGCTAACATGTGTAGCAATATTCCATCTCCTGCTACACCTCCCGTTGAACAGATGTCTGAGCTGCAGCCCGAATTCACATTCCGGCATTGCTGTACTGAGGAAGATGCAACAGGATTTGTTGAAAATGCACTTCCTTCTACTACAAGACAAATTCCATGCAGCATCTGTCGCCTGTTCTTCCCAGCAACTCTCAGTCCAAGGCATTCAAGGCAGTTACAGACTGAGTTCCAAGAAGAGCCACAGTTAGGTTATGAGGGTCACCTTCCATCACAAGACTTGTTGCCTTCCTACCAACACTACATTTATATGAGGATTGATCATAGAGTTATGGGAACACGGGTGTAAGCCTGGAGGAATTGAATTCATAGAAACAAAAATCTCTTATCAGTTATGTGGAAATCTGTGATGTGACTGGTTTGACACTTAAAATAGACCATTTACTGACTGAAACATATGTAAAGGACTGGGTATCAGAAGACTGCAGCTCTTTGAGAGAGTAGGAGTGTTATAAAGGGCCAAGTTTCACTTCTACAGATTGTACCTTAAGTTTAGCCATAAGTGAATATATGGCTACTGCCTTCAGGATGTGATATTGTGTTGCCCAGCAGAAGTTCACCATTGTTTCAGTGGCAAACAGAGCTTAGCTTGTCACCTGCTTCTTGCTGGTTACTTGCTTGGCTTACTCCTCTACTTTGAAGATTGAGGCAGTGCATTTGTCTGAAATGTCAGTGAACACTGCCAAACTAAATGACATCATTTCCCAGAAGGTAGTAGGTTTTATAATCAGCGCTGTGGAACCTCAGATTCAGCATGGTGGTGTACTTCACCACATGTGACTGTTAAATATCAACCACACAAACTGAATTTTCATCTGTCTGTCCTGGTGCATGTACTCTTTAAGATTTTTGTAATGGAAATGTATTTGTATTATGTATATAATATAGTAGCTCCAAAACAGCATTCTATAGTAGTAATATATAACGCACCATAATATTCTAAATGACATGTGGTTATAGTTGACAGTTATGATGAGGATGCAATATACCACTTTAAATGTGCCCTATTTGCTGTATTGAAAGAAATCACTGTTATATATATAATGTAATGTGCGTGTGTAGGTTCTGATCCTGTATATTTAATTCTTTTGCTTGAATGTATTAAGCAGAAGATTAGGACAGATTGAAAGATGTACACTTGAGTATGAGCATAATCTTCTGCAATGAATTTATTCGTCTTCTGGTGTGTATTCCTTCAAACGTATATAATTTCATAACACTTCAGTTGACTGTATCAGCTTTTGTAATATTAGCAAGCTTGCATCAGACTTTGTTCTTAGGTTCTGTTGCTGGTAAGTATGGGCATCCTCATGATGGTGCAGTCAGACACTCTGCAACAAGCCAGGAGACACTACCTCACAGCAGTGATATAGAATCTATAACTGCTTCCCCCTCTTCTCTGATGTAGTGTCGTTATGGTGGGATCTTCTCATGGGTACTTGGGCACTGGGATCACAGCAGGTAGATGTACTGACAGAGGAGAACTGAGAAGTGCATTATGTGTTTTTCATGGTGCTGATTATGCAACACTAAACATAAGGGGAAACGATTGATGCGCACACGCATTAGATTTATTAATTCACTTCTTTACAAACTTTGCATTTCTTGGGGTTTAAATGTGGTTGTTTCCAGCTGAGTTGCTATATATAGTCACTGATTCAATAAGATATATGTAATTGGTGTCAGAAATTTAGTACAGTTGCAGATATTGAGAATTGATTTGTGTGTGTGTGGATTATTTAATGATGCTGTCAGCGTTTGGACTACACAGTGTTGGGTGGTATGATCACTGAAGAACTGGAAGGGATTTTGATGAAGCAGTCATGGCTTGATGAAGGTACTATCCTGAGATTTTGCCAGTAGCAACTCCACAAACTTCACTGTGAACTAACTGCTCCCCCAGAAGCTTGGTACATCAAATCTTAGCAACTTAAGGCATGCTTTCAGAGACCCAAAAGCTCCAATAATGAAATTTCCTGGTATTAGAGGGGGTTGCCGTGCAAGACTGCAGTTAATTTAATATATTAATATATCACACGCACCAGTGTGATAGGCTGCTCACTCACATAATATTGGAATCTTCCCAAAAAAAACAAACAAAGACTATTATCTGGTGACAGGGAGTCTGTGTAACCTACAGGCAAATATCTCTGCTAACAGGAAATCATGTTAATGTTTTCCTGTCAACAAATGGCTCAATTTCACTCAGTTGAAAGTATTGTAATGTGTAGTATCGTTGCTATGCAACAGGCAGATAAACAACGGTTCGGTAAGCATGTTTCCACAGCAGTGGTCACTGATACAACAATAGAAGAACGGTGTTTTCTGTGTGGTCCATACTGAGATGTTATAAGCAGGACAGTTTGAAGCAATGAGTTAGTTGTTGGTTAGAGTTGTCATCAGTTCAGTTGAGTGAAGTGACTTGAAGTTGCTGGTTGGCGAGTGAGAGAGTTCAGTTGTCAGTTGAAAGTCAGCTTGTGAAGAGAAGACTTAGGAGGTTTGTGTGGAATGTTGTTAAGCTGGCATTGATAGTTGGCAGGAGTTCTGCATGGGCAACTGTGACAAGAGGACATGAGTGCAGGAATCTGAAGAATTGCCACTGGTAGAAGCCGTCACCAGGAAACGTCTAGTAGAGACCGTAATAGACTGAGGACACTAGTCTGTGTGTGTCAGTGATCTATAAAGTGTAGTTGTGAGTGGTGTATACAAGTGGTTAATAAATCCAATATTTGACCCAAACCCCACCTGTAGTCACCCCTAAATTGTGACATTCAAGTGTCGGAAGTGGGATCACATTGGAAACTGCACTGGATCTTGATCGTTGTACTGCCATGCTACAAGAAGAATTGAACAAATGATGGAACTCCTGAATACCATGCAAGAAGAGATGGAAACAGATACGTTCTTGAGCCTCCAAAATGGCCACCAACCAAGCAGGAATGCAAGCCATGCAACAAAGGGTGGATGCCAATCTAAAGGAAATAAAAGATGGCACAAATGCCAACCAAGCCAAGGCAGATACCATCCTAAAGGAAATAAAGTCCAGCCAAGAACACCTGAAAGAAGAACTGACCAAGATGGACTCCCAGCTAGAGAAAATGAAGGCCATAAATATGGTGACAGATCCAGGGGAAATGAAGTCTGTAGTGGTGCATGAGGAGGACCCTGAGGAAAAAGTCGCAATGGAGACTTCTGGAGCACTGAAGAAATGACATGAGGACAGGTATCTAGCCATAGGGTGCCTCCAGAAGCCGAAGAAAATTACCCAGGGCAATCGTGGGCCCAGAAGAAGTTGGCCGCTGCCTGCAGAGGGATGCCATTCCTGCATAGTGTAAGAGACAAGGCTGTACAAGAACCCAGAAAGGACAGACGTTTGGGAAGAGACAACCAGGCAAAACTGGAAGGCATCAGTGGAATAAGGATACATGGTTTAAAGAAATAAGTGTGTCTTGGAATCAAGAGGATATCTGGCAGGATCTTTGGGATAGCCATCGGGCTGGAGATTGTAAGTGAATAGTCAGATCATCCATCATGGATTCGAAAAACGAGTGTCAGGACATTGTGGATGGGTTGGCCCCTTCCAAAATGGAAGAACAGATGGCACACAGATTGGGAGCCATAAATGTAGTGGACCACTCTCAGAACATCTGGCTGCACCAACTGGAGGAAGGTGATGGTGATACAACTGAATTTACTGGCACCCTATCAGTGAGCCACTCAGGACAAGTGGCCTTAAGGAGGGAGCAGTGGGAGCATTTGGAGAGTAAACACCATGAAAACTGAACCATGGGAAGGAAGGTAAAACCAAGCACAGCCGTAGGAAAAGAAATGATGGTACACCTATAGGCCATTTGGGATGAATAGCCTTAAGGAAGGAGCAGTGTAACATATGGTATGATATTGATATGCAATAGGTGGATAAACAACACCCATCTCTAAACAGCGGTTCAGTAAACACGTTTCCGTGGCAGTGGACACCAATGACAAAATAGAAGAATGGTGTTTTCTTTGTGGTCCACTTTGAGAAGTTATGAGCAGGACAGTTTGAAGCAACGAGTTGGTTGTTGGTTAGAGTTGTCAGCAGTTCAGTTGACATGAAGTAGCTGGTTGGCGAGTGAGAGAATTCAGTTGCCAATTGAAAGTCAGCTTGTGAAGAGAAGACTAGGAGGTTGGTGTGAAATGGCTACAAGCCTGGAACCCAGTTAGCTGTGACAGGAGGACCTGAGTGGTGGAAGCTGAAGAATCGCCACTGGTAGAAGCCATGAAACAGCTAGTGGAGACTGTAATAGATTGAGGACACTAGTCTGTGCCTGTCAGTGCTCTGTAAATTGTAGTTCTGAGTGGTGTATACAAGTGTCCAATAAATCCCATGTCCGACCCATACCCCGTCTGTAGTCACCCCTAAATCATGACATTCTGGTGTCAGAAGTGGGATTGCATTGAAATCTGCATTGGATATTGATTGTCAGTCAGTACTGCATTGTATGGCTTTTCAGTCAGTCTGAATATCTAATAGTGGCTGCAGAGAGGCTATCAGGGAGTCAGAAGAGAAACTGCTAGTTATAACGATAATATCCTATAAATGATACAGTTCCTAAATTTGTTATTAGGAGTGACATCATTTGGAAGAGTGTGATACAATAAACTGAAATGTCAGGTCTCATAGAGATGACCCTTTTGTTAGTGCACACCAGAAGATGCATCTGAACATAGACTAGTTCAAATGGAATCCCTTTTGGAGTTTTCTTTTTGTGCCAGCAAAATTTTTGCTAGATAGAAGCTTAAACTCTGTCCAAATTAAATTAAGGTCTAGCCAGTAATGGTGAAACTGGCCTTAAATTCTCTGCAGAGAAGCTTCCATTCTAGCTTACCTATAGTAAAATAACATAGTATGACTTGAATACTCAATAAGCTGCAGTTTTTTGAAATGCCCAAAAATTTGAGCAAACATTGACATCAACATGGAACAACATTTCTTCAAATTCTTTACCCTACCTACCCTAATTTACTGTGTACTCACTTTGGAAAGGACTGGATACTGTGAAAGCTTCAGCTAGTATACAGTAAAGTGAGTTTAGTGTTCAATTTAATTTATTTATTAGTGATGTTGGGTGAAGCTCAAGTTGCTGAACATACATGGACACATTATGTATGAAATTTTCTGTATATGAAGTTCTTTACAGCTCCAAGAAGGTCAAATCCAAATTTGTAAATAAGAGCAGATTATTCCACAGAGTGCAAATGGAAATTTCTGTACATAGTAAATTATGTGCTGCCACCCTACGTTCCACAAACAAGTTACTTAATTATTATAATATGAGCTTACTGAATGATAAGTAAAGTAAAATAAAACTGAAGATGGAAATGTTACATGTACAAAGAGAATCAGTAAATCTCAAGGCAAAATGAATGATGGGACAACTACATTTATTATCAGCCATATATGACAATATATGGCTGGTATATAATAATGTATATGACAAAATTTCCTATTGAAACTTGGGGAAAAAAATATGTGCACTTGAAAGAGCCCTGTAGTTGCTAGAAAGTGGCAAATTTAAAGCAAGGAAAAAGAAATACAATTACATTCGATATCAGACAGATATGTGACAGTAAGAAATTGCTGTTCATACTTGAAAGAATTTCATTAATCTTTTAGAAAATACGTGCAGTTTGAACAGCCCACCAACTAGTATTAAATTAGTGACCGTGCACTAAATTTTAAGTAAACCAATTTTGTATAATTCATAAAAGAGCCACATAATTCAAACTTATCATTAAATCTATAATATGATCATACAGCACTGACAGTAACTCTAAAAATATAATGTTATTCCTTGTTAATAAATATTGCTCCATGGTTAAGAAGTTAGGAGTGTAGGATAACTGAGAATACTTCAGAAGTCCCAATTTGGATATTGGAATTAAATGTTGCTGGTTTGAAAATGCCCAAAATATTTAAGCCTCTTGTACACATTTTGTGCTTCATTTCTTACATTGTAATTATATATATATATATGATATTTTTCATAAGTGTCAAAGTGTCTGTACCACATTTCGATTTGTAAATACTTTTGGATATTAGCCAAGTGCCAAGAAGGCAGATGAACTGTAGAGTAATATGGTATGTCATGTATATGGTATTTCACTATAATATTTTTTCACATTGCTGCATGCTTGAAATACAGCAACCAGTATTTTTAAGATAATTACCTTAAAAGCATGATCTCACAGCTTAAACATAGTGTTAGCCAATTATCAGTGTAAAATGTGATTCACCTATGAGATGAGCGGATGAGGGGCAAGGAGAAAGTAGTCATATGTTATGTATTACACCAGTTTCTGATACTGAAATTTCTGCAAGTCATATGAAAAGAGAATGTATATTATGTAAATGTTGTACTCTGCACAAAGGAATGCTATAGGACTAGATAAATACCCATCAAGTAATACCACATATTTCGAAATCTAAAACAAAATGCAAGTTCAGGAACTGGTTTGTATAGAATTTTTTTTGTGACAGCTTTGGCTCCTTGAATGTGTTTTTTATAGTAACAGTTTGAGTTCCATATAGCAATTACTATAATTAATATTGTGTTATGTAAAGGTTTTTTATACTACTTACTATATTTACCTAAATTCAAGATGGCGGTTAATTAGAGGGGGAAAAGGCATCAAAATTAAAAGTAAAAAGAAGAAAAAGAAATTTTGTTTTGTCTGATGAAGGCTAATACTATTGTAGAGTACAGAACATATTTTCACTACACTGCACAATTATTGGTTCATTCTGCATAATTCGGTACATTCTCATGAAATTTGAATGTAAATAACTTCCATGTATTCCACATAATTTTGTGTTTGAAGCCCAAGTGAGCACAAATGTTCATCATTGTAATATTTTTATCTTTCCTCTTCTGATAATATGCCCCCGCTCATGCAATCTAGAAATTATATACATCGTATATGCTTTTACTCCAACCTCAAGCAATAATATACTGGACACACATGCAGCTCAGCCTGTAACTAAACTGCACTGTCTTTTCTGAATGCATAATGTCACTGATAACATAAAAAAAGGTAACCCTGATATTTTCTTATTATAAAAATTTAAAACAGTTAATAGTTTTTGAGATGCTGAAGTATTCCTCAGGACTGTGCCTTAAATTTGGGTAAATACAGTAAGCGCTCTCTAAAGTGTTTGTTTGATCTTTAGTGTGACTGAGTGGTCAAAAAATCTTTCTTGCCTGGTACCAATAAAGGAACCACAGAGTACTGTTCATGTTCTTCCTCCTTTTTTTACTAATTCTGTAATAGTTTGATATATTTCTTCTTGTCTTCCATGCCATATTTGCTTAGCTTCCTGCTTTCTCAGCTGTTTTCCGTTACCTTTAATTTCAATTTTTCTGGTAATAAATTGAGAGTAATGGTGGTCCTAGTGACAGCGATACTTAATATTGGGTGACAGGGAAGTTGAATATTGCGCTATTGAAAGCTGTATATATATATATGTGTGTGTGTGTGTGTATTTGTACATAAATTATAAATAGATAAGAAGTAATTGTGAGGTATGCAATTTTAAGTATTTGGAGAAGTAGCAGTTTCAGTATTAATCCTTTTATGATCACAGCACAGATGGTTGCATTTGGGCATGGTATGTAATGTTAGAGCTCTGCTGTATTAATGGGATTAACAATCTTTCAGTGCACTGCTTATCGCTTAATACGAAGAAATTATTACAGAAACAGATTCTGACATATTATGGCCAAATTTGAAAATGCTAGTTTGAGGTCTTCATCAACAGGTTTTTATAATTTCATTCTACAATATGCAGTAGGCGGCCAGAATGGTCTTGAATGGATACCACTAGGATGGAGGAAGAAGGAAACTCGTCCCTTCCCTTCAGCTTTTCTGGTCACATTTGTCACCTCCCTACACGTACTTCATACCTTGACCATTTTAACCTGCCTAATCTTGTCAGCCTAATACAAGGGAGAGTCAGTAAACAGGACTCTGATGGAAGTAAAACAGCTGTAATGGACGTAATAGGTTTTCTATGTGTGTCACTAGGTAGCAGCACAGTCCAGCTTCATGACAGTCTAGCTAACAGACGCGCATGCGCATGTTTAGAGGCTGATTTCAATAGTATAATGACGACCGTGCTTGAGGAGTGTAGTACCGAAGAGCAGTGTTCTGTTATGCATTTTGTTTGTAGGCAAAAGGACTCAGTACAAAGTAAGTAAACAAAAGTGAAGGTATCCCTGTAACAGGCCGTGAAGGCCCATAGGGTTGTGAGACGTTGAGGGTCCCACATTATCTAGACAGTCGACTCAAAGATGGCGGTAAGGTTGTCAGCCTTACGCGCCGGCTGCGCTTTACTCCCCAGGAAAATCATTTAAATAATTCCTGGTACTCATTTCTGTTAGCGGCTGAGTGAACCCCAGGCCAATAGTGCGACCGGAAGGGTTAGGTCAATTGAAAAAAAATTCAATGACCTCATCGGGACTTGAACCCGCGACCTTCCGGCTTGTAGAATAGTGCCTCAACCACCTACGCTACCGCGTGCCCCCTCAGTTGAAAGGATATTCATAAAGAAATGTTTTCTGTTTACGGTGAGAAGTGAGAACGTTTTGCTGATGATGAGGTTGAAACGGAGATGCAGAAGTGGCCGAGACAACAGTCAAAACACTTTTCTGCTGCAGGTTTCGACCCACTGATTATGCGATGGAACACGTTTATCAGTGTTTGTGGAGGATATGTCGCGAAATAATTGTCCCTTCCAGGTTCGAATATCTCATGTTTTACGTTTTATATGCATTTGTAACCTATTTACTGACTCCCTCGTAATAGTGCGTAAAGGTTACAAATTACGAGGTTCATCCTTAATGCAAGAGATAAATTTTCATACCCGTGCAGAAGAACTCGTGAACTTATACTTCTGTACACTTAGTTTTTATGTTTCCAGATCACAGACCGAAACCCAAAGATTCTGAAGTGAATGATAGCAGATTTGAATTTTCACTACATTTCTTCTCGAATAAACTTTTTATTTGCCGGAGTCATTCACAAATATTCAAACTTTGTCAAATATTCGGTAAAAATTATTGGCTACCTTTTTATGATTCCGCATTTGGTTTAGTTGACGAAACATGAACGTATACTAGATAGGTTATATCAAACGAAATTTAAAGTGATGTTCCTAATTTAATTTACAGTTTTATAAAGAGATAATGTAAAGCCGTTGGCATTTTAATTGGAAATTGTTAAAACAAAAATAAAAAAATCCTAACCTCAGCAACTTGAACAGTTTTAGAAAGACAGCTGCATTTTTACAAAGACAATACTGCTGAACTCGACAGAATAACAGTATACTGGTCCTATCTGAACGAAATTATTTTGGCAAAGCTAGCTGAACAGCCGTCAAAATTACCTAACCGTTCATTGGCTGCAGCCGCAATAAAGTCTCACAATGGCCTTTATCTAGTGCAACATTGTACAACAGAGATCAATTTATTTTGGTCACAACTCTACCAACTATAACAGTCATCGTTTCAGTGATTTGTCATTCAGACACAAAACAGATTAGGAAAGACACTGTCGATTTCGATAATAGCTATTATTTCCACACTACAACCATGCACTCAATTAATTCTGATATACATTTTGTAATGTTTCCCCTTCCATTAATATGAAACCGCACATTTTTCTGAATTGTCAAATAAAAAAGAAGTGGGGCGAAACACTTCCCAATACACGTATTGCACAGCTGACCTTCATCCTCCAGTTGTGTCCCAAGGCTCAGGAGCAAACAGTTCCAATAGCTAGTTGCAGCTTTGACAGATAGTCCCCCCATTGTTCCATTCCTATAGGCTACGTTAAATCAGACAGACAGATTCGTAATTACTCTCTTGTAACGTACTGTAACTGTAAACGAATGGCCATCAATATCGAAAACCTGAGTCATTTATAGTTTTACTGTCTGAGGTTCGAGACCCGGATGTATCTGATTCTTGAATCACAGGATTTTCCAAAGTTAAGGTATTTAATCAGGGGATTCCCCGACTGGCCGGTACACTCATTTCGACAACAGAGTAGCTCAACAGCGGACTAAGGATAACACAAGAATTAATCTGAAGAAACTGAGGCAGTAAGCCTAGAACCGGGGCAAAAGAAACCAGAATAGCTCAGTCGATATAGCGACTAGGCAAGGGGGTGGATGACCAAGAAACTGGTGTCCGTTCCACAGCATTCAGACCGGCGTTGAGGCACACCCAGCTTTCATTGAAATATTACCGATGATTATTTCTCGGGGTTACAGCGGCCGGGACGTGAAACGGACCATTCATTTCCATCTAGTCCAGAGATTAATAATGTTTAGATTTTATATATTGTCACGTGTTAGAGTGACTCTTGACGGGGTATTGGATTGAATATTGCATTTATTGAAAACTTACGGATCTTACCTACAAGTCTCACTGAACTAGAGCACACATAAAATCTTTTTTGCTTGGTTCGTCCTGGTCCATCACACTGTTAATAGTATAAAAGATTATTAGCGCTGCCCACTGTGATTGATAGATGATGTTTTTTTTTAATCTTTCATCCTATACATGTTTCGGTCGGAGCGACCATCTTCATAAGGACATTATCAATACATACAGAAACTACTATTATAATGTCAGAGATATAAAATATTATATCCTTTAACAATTACTAAGACGTGCATGAATTTGTTAAAAACATTTATAAATTATTAAAAATGGTCAATTTACAAAGTAATGTTAAAAACTTTTAGTTAAAATCTAGAGCAAATTTTTAAACATTATTTTGCGAATAGACTAGTTATACTAATTGTTAAATATTTTAACAAATTCATGCACATCTTAGAAATTGTTAAAGGATATAATATTTTATAACTATGACATTGTAATAGTAGTTTCCGTATGTACTGAAGATGGTCGTTCGACCGAAACATATAAAGGATGAAAGATTCAAAACACAACATTTATCAATGACACTGGACGGCCTTAATAATCTTTTATACATAAAGTCTCCTCTATGTTCACCAGTCGTCTCCTGGCAACGGATTTATACACTGGAGATTCTTCAGCTTTGTACTAACCGCTCCGACTGAATCTTTTCGTCACAGAATCCCTTACAATTCTCAGTTCTTGCTTCAGTTGTCCTTCTTATGAACCCTTTGCACGAACCCAGTAGAAAACACCGTTTCTAATAATTTCTCTATTGCAGTTTAACTGTTCCTTGTTAAGAATCTGCTGCCTAGCAACGGCTGTTGTCCTGCTACCCGTTTCGCGGTCGTTGCCTAGAAACTGGTCTATACGCCACAACATTCTGTTGTTTATTTAACGACGCTCTCACAATTCTAAATCTGAAGCGTCTACTGATCGAATGATGGCGTCAAATTAGGCGGCTGTGGCCTACATTAAGGTACTATCATCCCGACATTTAACGAACTGAGTAAGACCACGATAAATCTCAGTCAGGATATTCGCTGTTTTCGCCGAAATTCGAATTAGATACATGCGAATTACAAGGTAACCACTTGCTCCATGAGCTGGGTGTCACTGAATTCAGTTCTTAGTTGTTTATATGCTTACTTAGCAGCAAAATGCCTAGTTATAAAGTGAGGACGAGCAAAGAAAGAAAGAAAACAAACGTATAAAACCAAAAGTAAAACAAGGCAACTTAACATCAATTTTTTTTTTTTTTTTTTTGCTAGTGCAGTGGGACTAAGTCCCTTGTACTGCGGCCACTTCTGGCCTATTGTACCAGCCCCAGCTGATAGGTGAGGGTGATTGTGGAGTAATTGGTGGAATGAAGATTGGCAGGGGAAACCCAAGTACTTGGAGAAAACCTGCCCCAGCTCCAATTTGTCCACCATAAACCCCACTTGACCAGACCCCGGGATCGAACCCGGGCCGCCGCGGTGGGAAGCGAGCTACTAACCGCTTGAGCTATGGGAGGGCCTAACTTAACATCAATACTGAGAGACGAATTAGTGTAATTATGCCAATCTTGTGACCAGAAGAAATATATGCACATTCATCTTAGATATGGTTAATATTTTGATATCATAAAATACGTATGTTTAACGGAAAAAGTTTTGGGTCCAAATACGTCAGTGTCCTTGCAAAGGACATTAGCAGTTGAAGCGCATCTAGCGGAAGGACGAGTTTTGCCCGAGAATGCCGAGTGGGAACTAGAAGAACAGCTTGTAAAAGAGGACAGGATTTAGAAGCAAAGCAAAACAGAATACGAAACAGTGCATCAAGAGTGGTGTGTCCTCTTACATTTTTTTTCCTTGGCACTACAGCCCCAGTGGGCCTAGGCCTACCTCCATGAACTTCTCCGTTCACTTCGGTTTTTCTAGATCTTACACATTCGGTAGGACTCCTTGGGCGGGTGATCAGCTCGTCGCAAGGACTCTACCTGTACACAAACACAGAAAAACGCACACAAACATCCATGCCCTGAGTGGGATTCGAACTCACGATCCCGGCTTCCGAGCGATCGAAGACAGGTCCTCTTACATAAAGTGTTTAATTTTAAGTGGTGTAAAATAAAAACAAAACTAATGAACACGGGGAAAGAAACAAAACGAAAGTCTGCAAATTTGTACTGGAATCGTTGCCACTTGTTGCCATCGGTAGATGTGCTTGGATTCCAAGCAACAGAAGCGTATTCACGCTTAGAAGTGACTACGGCAAAATATAAGTTACATAGATATTCGAAAGGTTACGCTGCTGGGTAGACTAAAAATTATTGTATAGAGGAAATGTATGGTCGACATGATTATGGAATGATGTTTAGAAACCTCTATACTCCAAAGTCCTTAATAATAATAATAATAATAATAATAATAATAATAAACTTAAATCAAAATGTGTAATTGGTTTTTCCTACGTTATAGAACAGTTCGCGTGGTTAAGTCCCTTAATTCTAAAGGAATCACCATAGAAACGACAATAATTACACTCAGTTTCGAACATTGCTGTATAGTGATAAGCATTCTTGTTTACATTTGGGAGGTACGTCTATTATGACAGGTTTTCTTGCGTTTCCTTAGTGTCTGCAGATACACGCACACGATCTTGCCAGAAGACGGGAAATAATTGCAGTCTTCCTCATGCTTCCAATTTACAATTCTAAACTATCTTTCCATGCCACATTATATTACTCTGCAATAGTTAGTTAGTTATTTAGAGAGGGTTGGTTTCCCCATGCACCGCGACCAGTTTGATCTATTGTCCTTCCCTCTATGATATTCTACCAGTCTCTTTACCCTACCGATAAATGGTGCGTACCATCAGTCCCGCCGAGCAAGCGAGTTCGGCCACTCGCTTAGCGGTGTCTATAATGCTTCTCCCCTCTATCGGAGGCCTTAGAGGCTATTGTTGGGCGGGAAACGTCCTGGAATTTGGCTCAGTGATCCCCTTTGGGGATATGAGGTTCTTTTACGTGCCGTAAAGTTACGACACGGGACACACAGCTTGAAGTCCCTCCCGGAGTACTTGTTCCCTGAATTTTTCCGCCCTTAAAAATTGGACGACCTCCGCCGGGTATTTCAACCCGCGTACCACGAGTCATGAGGTGGGAACGTTACCTCTAGACTACGGAGGCCGCTTTACTCTGCAATAGAAACCATGGTTAAATATGACATAAAAAAAAAAAAAACACACAGGCCAGGATATTGATATGTCTATGAAACCTATGTCGACAATAATATCTACTCCGGTACCCTAAGTTTAGCGGTTCAGGGTCTGACGTTCCTTTTTTTACCACTTTATGAAGTTGGCGTCTCTTGCATTTACTACATTTGCGTCTGTTGCGTAACAGGAAACTAGCATTTCATATAAGAATCGACACTGTTCTAGATGGGATTGTTCGTAATCTGGACAGAGAGGTCTGCTTGTAGTGGCGATGGACGAGCTCCCAGCATCGGCCGGGAATAGAAACCTGAACGTAAACTACAGAGAATGACACTGCGTATGAAGAAATGCAACTCTGGATGTGTTAACCAGACCTTCAGGAAGTAACTATCCACATGTGAGGCGTCGCATGTTCACGTACATTCAAATTATATATGATATGATATGATATGGCATTGTAGACCGTGCATGACCTTGTTTAATGCAAGATTATGTCACGTACACGTCAATGGTTTGTTCCTCTTTCATATTCAATTATCAACTTCATGGCTGTTGACAGAACTGGCGCATTCTTTCATTTCGCGCAAATTGGATTAATCACTGCAATCGGTCTGCTGCGCAGTACGGCTGTGGACACAGGGGAGGGTTGCCGAATTTGGACGAGTTTTAATTTGTCTCTTGTACGCAAACATGAACCATTGCAGAAAGGAAACAAATACAGGAATAAAACAAGCATCATATGTACTTTCGTGTCACATATTTATTGTGACCAAACACGTTTAATAAAAGTAGGACTACAAAAAACTAAACTATTGGCATCAGTCCATTCCAGGCAACTGGTTCTGTAAATTGGACCAGAGGTTTCCTACATTGGACCATTCCCAAAAACCAATGATATTAAATCTACGGTTTAAGAACATTGTTCAAAACTTTAAAATAAAGCAAAAGGGGAAGAAACATAACTATTAAACTACAGTGGGGGGGGGGCACTGAATTTCAGAGGAAGATGGCTGGGCAGTGTCAGCAGGAAGCAGAGAAGCAGCAGCAAAGGAGGGCTCTTGAAGAACATGATGATCGACTGGCCAAATCCCTGTTTCGTAGCTAGCAGAGGACCAATCTCAAAGGCGTTATTCCATTTCTTTGCTTTAAATACTGTCACAGGCGGTATGCACACCAGGGTGATATTGATGGAAAATTTGGTGGAATGAAGATTGGCAGGGGAAACCGAAATACTCGGAGAAAACGCGCCCCAACGCCACTTTGTCGACCACAAATCCCACTTGACCAGACCCGGGATTGAACCCGGGCCGCCACAGTGGTAAGCCACCGACTAACCCCTTGAGCTATGGAGCGGCCTAACGCCCACCTTTCTGTGCGGACGTTTCTGCACTGTGCTGAATCCAGACTCATCTACGTTGAATGTCTTATCAGGTGCAAACCCAAATTTTGAGATATTGCTTTCCGACAGATCAAAATAATGTAGTACATTATCCCTGTCGGAACCTTTTGCTGCTGCTAGTGAGGTAGCCTCTGGTTGCCGAACAGACAGTTGAGGATCTTTTCGCGTAACTACAGAGAACCATTTTTCCCTGCTAACTTTGTCTCTTTATTCAGTATGTGTGGAAGTTTATATTTTTCTGCCAGATCAAATGCTAACTTTCGAACGTCTTTAATGCTCAGCCCCAACCCATAAAAATGCTCTTCTAACATGAAAATACAATCAGATAGAATCTCCTCCCTGTCTCCCTAGAGCCTTCACAGGATTCACACACCGGATCTGCTTCACAGAGGGTCTCCTCACTGTAGCTTCACAAACTCCATACACCCTACTCCACTCATTCGAACCACAGTCCCATTTCTATACACTGCAACGGGCATTTGCAATTCATTTTCAGTCCATTTGCCATAATGCCCATCTTGCGTCGTTTTGGGTCTGATAACTGAACGAAAAAATTACGTGTTAAGGAAGTTTTGAACTGCTCGCCTTAATGAGGGACATCGTGTCCTGCGATGGGCCGGTCCAATGCAAACAATTGTGATGGTCGAATTAGGCAACTTGTAGGTTTCGTCAGAAAAATGTGTTTCTATCATTACATTTGTACTGTAAAATACAGACAGGTACATCACATTGTAGCTAAGACAATACATTTTACATTAGTAAAGTTTAAAATTATGGTACTTACAGGATGCAGAAGAAAACTGAATTGAGATTCCAGGAAAAGTAATGTTCACACACCACTACTTTCCAGAACTCAGCGACACTGAGCGGATTGGCTACTTCGTTGTCCTAGCGCCTTCCACCCTCATCCCTTAAGCCAGTACAGCCAACCATGACATTGCAAATATCTCTCTTTTCCAAGGTACACGGCGGTCCGAAATCGGCAGCTCTCCCCTAATACGTATATACACCGAGGTAAGCTATTTCATTGATATGAAGAATGCCGTCTTCTGAGATGTGGCGCCGTGTACATAGATCTTGTGTAAACCGACACTTCGGAGGAACGTATCGCCTCCATCTTCAGGGTAGAAAATCCGCGAGCGATGAATCAGTGTGAGCAGATGGCCGCAGCCTGGTAATATGATACCGAGAAATGTCTATGATAAGCCCTTCACGATCAGATTCCCTGGCAGAAGTGAATGGAACAAGGGGTTTCAAGCCGTCACAAGGGGGGGGGGATCTGGTATACAGATGGTTCCAAGACAAAATAGGCACTGGATCTGGGGGTGTATTGCCATGGATCAAGGCGGAAACTTAGCTTTAGCCTTGGTCGGTACACAGTGGTATTACAGGCAGAAGTGTATGCCATTAAGGCATGCGCATTGGAGAATCTAGGTATAAACTATACAAATAGGAACATATATATTCTATCAGATAGTCAGGCTGCAATTAAAGCATTTGACAAACACCAGATCACCGCAAAACTGGTCTGGGACTGCCACCAGTCCCTCACACAACTGGCCGAACACAACAGGGTTCAAGTGATATGGGTGCCAGGCCATGAAGTTATTGCAGGGAATGAAACCGCAGATCAGCTGGCAAGAACAGGATCTGAACAGCCGTTCATAGGACCTGAACCAGCTTGAGGCATCTCAGGAGAGTATTGCTGGGAATGAAACCGCAGTTCAGCTGGCAAGAACAGGATCTGAACAGCCGTTCATAGGACCTGAACCAGCTTGCAGCATCTCAGTAGGAGAGTATTGCTGGGAATGAAACCGCAGATCAGCTGGCAAGAACAGGATCTGAACAGCCATTCATAGGACCTGAACCAGCTTGCGGCATCTCAGTAGGAGAGTACTGCAGGGAATGAAACCGCAGATCAGCTGGCAAGAACAGGATCTGAACAGCCGTTCATAGGACCTGAACCAGTCTGTGGCATCTCAGTTGGAGTTGCCAAGAAAGCGATCAGGGACTGGACGAATTGAAATAAAAAAGAACATTGGGAAGTTCTAACTGGACTGACAGGCAAAAGGACTCATACTAGGGCCCTCTGCCAGAAGAACTAAGGATCTGTTGAAGCTAAACAGAGACCAATTAAGATGGATGATGGGACTATTTACAGGACACTGTCGCCTTAAAGGACACCTTTTCAAACTGGGACCGACAGTTGACCCAACATGTGAAAGGTGCCTGCAAGGAGACGAATCAACCACACATCTCCTATGTGACTGTGAGGCCATAGCTTACTTAAGATTTCGTCACCTGGGGCAGTACTTCTTGGAGCCAAGTGACTTTCATGACGCACCCATAAATAAAGTCCTACATTTCATTCAAAGTGTAGGATTAATAAAGGGTTAATCAAAAGGGAAGCACAATAGATCAGTGATGGCCCGCCCTTATACATACATACATATATACATATGGAAAGAGATCTTATCTGCAGTGTGCTGACGTCATAGCCATTCGCAAAAATGCGATCTGTAGATGATGATCGTCTTCAACGGGCAGTGATGACGGATGCAACTGATCGTCATGAGGTGGGGTAGTCCAGATTGTTCTGCGATATTGCACGATCATATGCACTGAGACACAACAATATTGAAATTATACCAATTAATAACCCTACAGTGGCCTCTAAGTTTTTAAGTGAAGAGTCACTCGATTAGGCGAACTTCACTGTTGTCTTATTTTAAGAAATTGCCACAGTCACCTAAACATTCAGCATCCCCTAGCCTGATCAGTCGGCAACCACCAACATCGAGCCAAAAACCCTCCAGCAGTAAGGTTAGGATTCGCTGAAAGCTCAGATGATGGTTAGCATTTTTTAGCAATAAAGTATTTTTAATTAACGAATGTACATTGTTTTTAGACATAATGTCACTGCACACTTAATAGACTACAGTATAGTGTAAACATAAATTATGTATATGCGCTGGGAAATAAAAAAATCGTGTGACTCGCTTTATTGCCTTGATCTGGAACCGAACCTGCAATATCTCCGAGGTATGCCTGTACTTTTCTTCTTACATGCTCATTTCCACGCCGATAGCCATTGCCTTTCGCAACATGTGCATGTTCCACATCAGTGTCCTTAAAATAGCAGGACTAATTACAACAAACATAATCTTATTGCTTCACTCCACGACGTACCACGTAATCTCTTACCCAGACGTATAAGATTTATGTTACATGGAATTTACATAACTCAAAGTATTACGTAAAGACAGCATAAGGCGGCAGCAGCGGGTGACACCGTTACAGAGCTGTCAGTCTAAAAGACATGTAACTACAGAGCCGACATTATCTACATAGGGTTACGCCACTTGGATATATTGACTGAAATCTTTCCTGCACCAAGGCGCAGCGATGTCCGGATATCGGAAATACGGGTATCGCGAGCCTTCAGAGGAGTTGCTATTCAGATATGATTTAATCTGTTTTGGATTGGGTGATTGGCTAATCGCAAGGCTTCTGCTTGCACAGGAAAACACAATTTTACTAATTAGTAATAAATATTATCACCCTGTTGCTTGAGTATAACTAAAAATACACATTCCATCGTCAACGCAACTGTAATTTATTAACTTATGTTCCACTAAATGTTTCGACCCTTACAGGGTCATCCTCAGGTGTTGTGATTTACACATTTTCATTATTAAATTGTATTCATATCTACATGAACAGGCTTAAAGTGGCTACTTTCTATGTACTTCCATATTCTAACCGCTAGATATGGATTTAAATACAATATATATATGAACTTACTTACCTACTTACTCACGGAGCTGCCCTTCTTGAGGAGCGGCCAATTCTTCAGCTACTCGAGAATTTCCCAACATTTTATGGAACCCGAAGGTTCATTACCGTGCTCACAAGACCTCTCCACTGGTCCCTACCCTGAGCCGGATCAATCCAATCCATACCATCCCATCTTATCTCTCTAAGATCCATTTTAATATTGTCCACCCACCTACGCCTTGGTCTTCCCAGCGGTCTCTTTCCTTCTGGCGGTGGGAAGCCGGCGACTAACCACATGAGCTATGGCACGGCCTGGTTGTCTAACTCCAACTTCTGATGTGACCCGCTTATAATATCTCATCGCGGACCGCACAGAAAACACCGTTCCTGTTGTTGTTTACGGGGCCGCCGCCCAGTAGCGGCCGTTGTATATTTCTTTGTCGTTGCTTAGCAATAGGTCTACATGACGCAGTGTAGAGCTGAAAGTAATCTTCGACTCGTAATGTTTTTGTGTGTTTGTGTAGTTTGAGGAGCAGACATGTTGTTATGTGTAGTAAACAAAAATTAATGCAAATGTCGTTTACAAAATCTGAGTGGTCAACACGTCTTCTCCTTGAGCGCATCTCCACTCTCGTTTGTTTTTGTATGCAATTAGCGCCATAAGGAGAGCGGGAAAACCAGGAAAACTGTTATCTTTGTTGTCAACAAGACGCGTCCACACTCGCTCGGTTTATGCAGCGCAATGCCAGCCAAGTGACAGTGACCGCCCCTGGCATCGAGTCGGCCGACTGCAGGGATTGAAGTGAACTACGTAAACAAAACGAGACCCAGCAGTTAACCTTGCTGGAACTGAACACCAGAAAGTAAAGCCCATTTTGAATCAACTCCACTAAGCAAAATTCTTTTGAGAAGCTCGTAGTCGCTCAGCTTGTCAACAGATTTCTCGCCATTTACCCAAAACCAAGATTCCTTAATATATTACAACATTCCACCGCCGAAGAGAAGGCCAAGCATGTAGTGGGTAGAACTGTTTAACCATTCTACTATTCATTTACGACACATTGAGTTTCAGGGTACCAGCAACGACGATGAGAGTCGTCCGAACATCATTATCATGTTTTCAGCTTGAACGGTACACGCGGGCGGAACTTGGTAATTGCCTCTCATTATCTTCGTTCGAGGATAGTAGTCATTTCACTTCTTGTTTTCCGATTAATTTTTTTATGCATTTCTCGTTTGATGTTCAGCCCACTTCATTGTCTTCGATGTGATTACTAGAATTATATTCGGTGAAGAGTATGAAAATTATGAAGTTCCTCATTACCCAAATGTTTCTTCCTCCCTGCTACTTCCACTTCTCCTCGCCACACTGCTCTCACACACCATGAAGGTATGTTCTCCTCTCAGGACGAGAGAGACCAAACATTTTCAGCCACAGAATACAATGGCTATTACAGTTCAGGTTTCTCGACAGCAGGTGGGAAGACAAAAGGTTCTGAAATCACTGGTAGCGAACGTTCTGGGAATTTAAACTTTCTATTTCTTAGCGTCGTTCCCAAACATCTGAAGTATGTAAAAGTTCCAAGGATTCTGTCCTATTTCCTTGTGAGGAGACGTAAATATTTGCTCTGCATTTGCCTGTTGATCAACCTCCTTACTAGCGTCTAATGGAGGCCTCTGGGCCCTGAATTCAAATTGGTTCCTAATGAGGACGGGTGCTGGAAACGAGTCAGTAATTGAGCGACAAGTGTAAGTCAAACAAGGTGACACCTGCATGCATGCCTGTGCATGTGAGCTCTAACCATACTCGAAATGTGTTCAAGAAAGGCTATCCGAATAGGCACTGCTATGTGAACTTGAGAAAAACCATCTTCGGTGGTAGCTGGAGCCATCTGTTTGCAGTTTATTTAACGAGGCTATCAGAAACTCAGTCGATACTGGTACAGTGAATGCTGAACTGGAAGGAAGTGTTGGGGCCACTGCCTGGAGGAGATCGGGGAAACCAATGAAAATCCTCAGTTATGACAGTCGACATCTCTCCCGGTTGAGAATCGCTTCAAACTTGCTCACCCTGACGATA